TTCCAGTTGCTTAAGCACCAGACACATAAAATGTTCACATGGCAAATTACACAAAAATGCACAATATTATCTAAGACCTACAACATTTTCATGACTGAGACACTTTACAGAAATATGTGTTTGAGAAAGTAATACAAACTTTTAAGGGGGAATAAACAATTTTTCCAAGTACTGTTTTCTGGCATTACCTATTAAAACTACCTCCAAAATGCACTGTTAAGCTAGAATTCAATTAAATTAAAAGTATCATTTGGCAAAAAGAAGTCTAGGACACATACACGTATGTCAAGCAGTTGTGATGAACAGCTAATTCCACCCATGGCACTCACCTGTGTAAACACCTGTGAGCTCAATTATTAAAAATGCAAACAAAATATTTAGAAGTTAGAAAGTATCACAAAGAGCACATTTCTAGTTGGATACCACACCTGGGTTAAAGGTTACATTCAACCTCAAAAAAAAGGATATTCTTTGAGAGATCAACACCTACAGGATCAATGACTCTATGGTGTATCCTGGTCGAGATCCAAGGAAACCAACAAGCAGGAGACACACCAAAGGGCATTTCCTACAAGTTTAGCAAAACAATGGAGTAAATCTCGAATATGAGGCAGGAATAATACAGTTTATTCCTTAGCTCTGTAATATATTTCTATTCGGGGTTATAATTCCAAGTAATTAGAAAGAGAATGCAAATAGTGGCGACGAGGAGAGCAGCAGGAGTCAGCGCAGACGGGCGCCGGCAGCCAGAGGCGGCCGTGCGGCCGAGGAGCAGCGGCGGGCACAGGGCGAGGCGCGGAGCTGCTTCCACCAGCAAGCACGGGGGTGCAGCAAGGGCCGCGCAGCCCGACGTGGCTGAAATTCTAGTGCTCTCTAATTTATAAAATGACAATTAAAGTGCAACACAGGATTATCCTTACTATTTTTAATACTGCGTATTTTGTGTTGCTTTTCATGATTTCTCAGTCATTTACTGTTTACTATGCATTTATTGTATTTCCCCCATAAATCCTAAATCAAAAACGGAAGCCAATGAGATGATTCACGTAGAAGAAAGTCCCATCAGGGCCACCTACAATTATGTGAGAGCCAGTGCCCTCGGTGAAATAGTGTGCAGTCTGATATTAATAAATTCTATGGGGAAACAGATTTACACTATTAGAGAGGGTACTTACTACAACATATTAAAGGCTTTCCTACTTCTCATTAATATAGAGGTGACAATACATAACAAAGGGAGATAAAAATATGGAATATGTTAGATTGTTTCCATTTTAACATAGAAACAAATCTAAAAAATTTGCTGCATAAATAATATAGGACAGTTGCTACGAATCTCAATTTATGCTTTGAAATTATAATGAACACTAATTAATGGTGAAAAAATTTTGGAGTAATGATGAAATATACTGATTTGTAATGGATTAGACTTTTGAATATTTTAGGCAGTGAAAGCTTAGAAAAGGGGCACATGTTTACATCTAAATAGAATGAAATGTCATCGCCTAAATTAATAATGCAAACTTGAAAAATAGCCCCCGGTTCAAAAGACCAATTATAAAACTCTTTTGTAAACAAATCTATATTCACATTTTTCATGAATAATTATTACTACTAGTATTTCTCCACTAATGTTCAATTTATAAAATGAAAAATATATTTTCAAATGAAATTTAAATAATATGGCAATTTCTAATGATGGTTACTTACCTGAAAATAAGTGTTAAGAGTGGCAAAGATAGGAATACTCTATAGGAATGATTTTAATGTTTCTATATGAAACAAAAACCTAAATGCTAAAAAAATTAATTAAATATTATAAGCAATAAAATATTATGGAAAGTTACCAAAAACACAGATATAACCTAATCGTCTCAGTACATATGTGATCATCTGTAGATATTTTCATTCTATAGAAAACATGCATACTCAGATTCAGTTTATCCTTTAAAAGAGGTTTTCTCTGTTGAGTGAGGTAGGTATGGTGAGCAGTTTGCTTGCTATGCAACCAAAACAATAATTTTGAACTTAACTATCTGCTCCTGTTAAAATATTTGTTCATTAACAAGGAAACAAAGGTTTCGTTTGTAAGTCCCATGTTTCATTCATAGTCCCTAACTTCAGAAGTGTTCATTATCTGCAAGTTTCTGTACTCCTGGTCAGTTAACTTCTCTTTTCTTCACTAGTGAAAGCAAACCTAACCATATGTATACACAGAATGATAAAACTCATATGAACAGAGAATGTTCAAACTATTCTCTTTCAATCACAATCAACTTATTTAAAAGTTTTAAGTATAGAATCGTCCTTTCTCAAGGACTGTAAGGATACTGGTAATACCCCTGGATCTAACGTGCTAATCCGTGGGCAGGGGCAGCACCAGCTCCACTGCATTGCAGTGCCCCCGAGGCCTGGCACAGAAGCCCCCCGCCCCCCCGCTGTGCACCCTGGAGTGCTATTCCCGGGAGATCAGCTGAGCAGGGACAAGGATGGCAACCTCAGCCTGGGCGAAGGAACAGCAGGTTCAGAAAGGAACCCTGGAAGGCTCTGAGCCCCTCTGCACACACAGACGTAAGCGTCTGCTGAAATTAAGTCCTCATCTGCAAAACAAAATTTGAATCCCAATCTTTGCAGTAATACTTCTAAAAGCCTTAAATCATACTTTTAGCAATTTCTTTTTTTAAAATCATGAATATGCACAAAAATCTAGTTAGGTACAAGCATTTTTCAAGTAAAAACTTAAAAATGCCTTAAAATGTCTAAAAATTTAATAAAGTGAATATATGCCAGTATTTTAAATTAGATTGCAGAAGAGCAGTTTTCAAACTAGGCATTTTAGAACTCTAAGGTATTTCAGTAATTATCCAACAATTGACTTTGGATTTGTTAAAGCTTCAACATTTCAAAAACTGAAAAAATCCACTGTGGCACGTATTATAGATAAACGTTAACGCGCCAGAACTTTGGGGCTTGGGAAGTCCGGCTTTGCCTCCTGGAACAGGGTCCGGAGACGGTACGGCAGGGCACAGCCTGTCACCACCTCCCGTAGAAACCAGAGATGAGCTGCGCTGGACCAGCCAGGCTCTGGCTCAGAGCTCGCGGTCCCTCATCTAACGTGACAGAGACCCTACGGGACAGCACCTCATCACTGCTCTTTACAATGAGGAGGCGGCCCCTCCGAGGGCTGCACCTCCTGCAGACCCACCCCCAGAACTGCGCAGGACTGGCCGCCAACAGCCACTGTTGTTAACAACTTCCCATCTGGAACATCTCTGCTTGTAAAAATAGTTTTATCTGATACTTTTTAATGTCCTAGTAAATAGTTCAGATTTTAGCTATGGATTCCACTTGTAAGTAGTAGAGACCACTTAGCCCTGTTTTCTCTGTGGGGTCTATTCATGATCTTGTTTGAAATAGTAGTTCTGCTATTTAAAAATAATACCTTGAAAACCACAGTTATACAAGGTAAATGAAACAGACAGATAGTTACAATTTAAATGTGAAATGTAAAATCTATAATGAAAGAAACAGAAAAGCCCCGAACAACAAAAACCTTATGCATAGAGTACAGACTAAAAAGATATAATCCTAACAGCTAAAAGTGATAATTAAGGGAAATTTTTATAACTTTCTAATTTCTTTTTTGTGTTTTATAAGGCAACTACATGGTATCACCTCTTTAATGACAAAACAGAGCCTTCAATAATGTTTCCTTTTTAAAGAACTCATGTTACGAGCACCTGAGAATGTCTGTGACTACCTCTAATCGGATCACCATTTTACCAAATTTCTAAGAAACACCAATCTAGTGTTAAGCAAAGGCAGAACTCATAAAATGTATAAAGAATGAATAATTAATGAATGAAATATATCTGTAATATCTCTGTACTATTAGATGACCTTTAAAATACAACGTAATGCAATAATGAGGATAATAATAGAGATTATGGCAATATATTTACTGAATGCACGGGCTACACCCAGAGACGGAGGGAAACCGCTCTTCAGAGAGGCTCGTGGAAGGTACGGATCCCAGCAGCCGGCAAAGGCGTTGGCTGCGGGAAGAACGAGCTCCGACCGGGAAGGGGCACCAGGAGAGTGTCCCTGCGAAGGAGAAGGCTCTCCCTCTCCCGCTCCCCCGCCCCCCACCCCCCGCCCTCAGGCTCAGGCTCCCAGGACAGGTGTCGCCAGGCTGCCTGCACACCTGCGGTGTCTCACAGACACCTCGTGAGCGCCGGCCTCACTCACAGGCTCCAGGTGCACCGTCACAGCCCGTCTCAATGTCCCTCTGCCCTCTCCACCCACACACCTTGTCACCGAGGAGGACTCATCACCATGTGAATGTCCTACTTCTCGGCATCTCTGCTTTGCTGCCACCGACCAAACCTCTGCATCGGGCAGGGGTCGCTTAGCCTCAGAAGCACACATGACCTCCAACACACCCTGGCACGAAAATGCCCCTCTGCCAACACCTCCTGAATGCTCGCAGGACAAGCAAAGCCTGAGCGGACCCGTCTTTAATCTGGCTGAGGTGCCCGCGCCTCTGGCAGACTTCCCTGTGGCAGAAGGTGTCCCCCTACACTGCTCTGGCATCTGCACTAGAATCATCTATGACCACTGTGGGTCACCTCTGATGCCGCACCCCGATGGGTAGAAGGTCCCTAACGCCGTTGGCACTGCCCGGCGCATCACTCCCACCAAATAAGACACCCTTCGTGGTGAATGACGGACGAACTGAAATGGGTCCTCGCTTTGGCAAAGAAATAACATCACTTGAATTCAAGTGTACCAAAGGGTTATAAAACCTAAATGTAAAGTTTATAAGAAATGAAAAATAATTTTATAATTTTGAAAACAGTCACTGAAAGCTGGTGGTGAGCTAAATCCCCAAACTAGTGAGGGAGCACCTCCCACTGAGCTAGTTCACGCCGACCGGCTCTGCTCTGCAAGGCTCAGCCCGCTCAGCGACCCCTGTGCTCGGCCTGCCCGATGAGCCGCACCTGTAGTCACACCAGGGGCACCGGTAGGGCTTCTCTCCCGTGTGCACCCGCTTGTGCCGAGTCAGGTGGGACTGGGTGGTGGAGGCGAAGTTACACTCGTCACATTTGAAAGGCTTTTCTCCTGTAAAACATCAAGAAGTGTTGTACATGAATAATCAAAACATTGGATACAAAGGGCTAAACCTGTTACTGACAATTAAAAAGAAACTTATTTCCATGACATTTTAATAGTATGGTTCAATGGACTACACATATTTGGGACACTGGAATGTTTGCTCTCAGTCAGAAAGACCTTTATTTCTGTGCTGAAGAGAAGACTGGTGCACACTCCACGTTCGCATGCACCTCACACACACAGGAAGCTGGACAGCTTTGGCCTAGCACTGAATTTGAAGCATGTGACAAACCATGTTACCTTAGAGCCACCATGAAAATCTCAATGTAGTATATAGTAGAAAGCTTACTAAAACCTTAAAGTTAAATTGAAGAAAATAATAAAATAAAGCTATACACTGACAGCAAGGGAAACACTTAGAAGTCAAGGAAGTCACAGGTCACTAAGCAGAACAAAAGGCCCAGGGGTCAGAGGAACAATGACAGCAGCCTTCACCAGCACTTCAGGCCGGCTCCCGGGGCAGACATCACAGATCTGCACACATGCTCCCCTCGCTGCCGCAGCTTCACCGGGCGCAGGGCTGGCCCTGAGCACCTGCCCTCCCCGCGCACCTGCCCTCCCCGCGCACCTGCCCTCCCCAGGCACCTGCCCTCCCCGCGCACCTGCCCTCCCCAGGCACCTGCCCTCCCCGCGCACCTGCCCTCCACGCGCACCTGCCCTCCACGCGCACCTGCCCTCCTCCACGCACCTGCCCTCCCCGCGCACCTGCCCTCCCCGCGCACCTGCCCTCCCCCGCGCACCTGCCCTCCCCCGCGCACCTGCCCTCCCCCGCGCACCTGCCCTCCTCCGCGCACCTGCCCTCCCCGCGCACCTGCCCTCCTCCACGCACCTGCCCTCCTCCACGCACCTGCCCTCCCCGCGCACCTGCCCTCCCCGCGCACCTGCCCTCCCCGCGCACCTGCCCTCCCCAGGCACCTGCCCTCCCCGCGCACCTGCCCTCCCCAGGCACCTGCCCTCCCCGCGCACCTGCCCTCCACGCGCACCTGCCCTCCTCCACGCACCTGCCCTCCCCGCGCACCTGCCCTCCCCGCGCACCTGCCCTCCCCCGCGCACCTGCCCTCCCCCGCGCACCTGCCCTCCCCCGCGCACCTGCCCTCCTCCGCGCACCTGCCCTCCCCGCGCACCTGCCCTCCTCCACGCACCTGCCCTCCCCGCGCACCTGCCCTCCCCGCGCACCTGCCCTCCTCCACGCACCTGCCCTCCCCACGCACCTGCCCTCCCCGCGCACCTGCCCTCCTCCACGCACCTGCCCTCCCCACGCACCTGCCCTCCCCACGCACCTGCCCTCCCCGCGCACCTGCCCTCCCCACGCACCTGCCCTCCTCCACGCACCTGCCCTCCCCACGCACCTGCCCTCCCCACGCACCTGCCCTCCCCACGCACCCTCAAAGAAACCCTCGAGCCTGCAGTTGCTGTTCCACCAGCGGCACTGGTGAGCACCTGAAACCTGTATTGAACCTCCACCCTCGCCGAGGTAAATCTAGACCCGGACACGGGATTCACCCAGCGAAAGAACTGCGAGCCTGCCCGGGGCAGCTTGGGAATGTGGACCCACACCTTGAAGGTGATCCACCAACTGCAGACACGGGTCGTGGGCTGGAGGGAAACTCCGGCTTGAGTGGCAAAGTGCTGGCAGTGTCCTTACACACCCACCCACACTCCTGGAGCCACACGTCACCAAGTACTGACGAGAATGCCACACTAGACCATGGTGAAACAAGACGCCGGAATTTGGAGTATTGGGTGAAATTAACTGAAGGCTCCTCTCACCTGTTGCGTCTTCCTCTTCTCCATGTGGTTACCAGGACATTAAAAACGACAGGGTGGCCCTCACTGCACGGGGACCGCACAGCAGTGAGCGAGAGGCCACCTCTCGCCAGAAGGCACAGCACGGGCTCTGCCCCTCTCAGCAGAACCTGGGCCTTGGACGTCCGAGTCAACACCGGCTGATCCACGCACAGTCTCCCCTCAGCCGCTACGTCACCTTCAGGTTTCAAGTACCCTTGGCCAACTGTGGTCTGAAAGTACTAAATTTCCCCAACCATCGACCTCGTCTGCTCCTGGCATCCGACTGTAGACTTGGTCACGGCCCCATGACCCACAATCTCCCAAAGATGACCTTCCTCCCGATGCAGGGTCAGAAGGTCAACGGTAGCCTAACGCTCGGTCGCAGCCGCGCGCCAGCTCCTCACCCCACCACTGAGGCGGGCATGTGCCACCTCACAGCCCCACAAGAAGGGCCAGCACAGCTCGGTCAGGCGTGCTGAGGGAGAGACCATGTGCACACCACGTTTACATGGTGCTGTTGTGACGGCTGTCTGATCACTGCCAACCTCCACTGCACTGCACTCATAACTAAGCTTGGCCACTGGTGTGTGCACAGGAAAACAGTGTGTCCGCAGCTTCAGACATCTGCTGGGGGTCTTGGAATGTATCCTCCAAAGATAATGACTATTAGATGCTCAATAATTCTACTTGACACTTCTTATTTCTACTGGTTTTATAATAGTGTTGTACATATATAGACTGACGTAGAAAATGAAGGATAAAATATTTTGATTTAAAATTACTCTATATCAGAGGAAGATATAAAAAAGTGGAAGCACATACCCTGTTCATAGATTGGGAGAATTAACATCATTAAAATGTCCATATTACCCAAAGCAATCTATAGATTCAACGCAATCCCCATCAAAATACCAACGGCATACTTCACAGAATTAGAACAATTATTTCAAAAGTTCATATGGAACCAAAAAAGGCCTCGAATAGCCACAGCAATCTTGAAAAGGAAGAACAAAGTTGGAGGGATCACAATACCAGATTTCAGGTTATACTACAAAGCCACTGTAATCAAAACAGCCTGGTACTGGGACAAGAACAGGCATATAGACCAGTGGAACAGAACAGAGAACCCAGAAATGGACCCAAGGCAATATGCTCAATTAATATTTGACAAAGGTGGCAAGAGCATACAGTGGAGTAAGGACAGCCTCTTTAATAAATGATGCTAGGAAAATTGGACAGCTACTTGCAGAAAAATGAAACTAGACCATCAACTTACACCCTACACGAGAATAAACTCAAAATGGATAAAAGACTTAAATGTAACTCATGAATCCATAAAAATCCTAGAAGAGACTGTAGGCAACAAAATTTCAGACATCATAAGCAGCAGAATTTTTACTGACACATCACCTAAGGAGAAAATGAACACATGGGACTACATCAAACTCAAAAGCTTCTGCACAGCGAAAGATACAATCATCAAAACGGAAAGGCTACCCACTGTATGGGAGAGCATAATTGCCAATGATATATCAGATAAGGGGTTAATTTCCAATACATATAGAGTGCTCATACAACTCCACAAAAGGAAGACAAAGAACCCAATTAAAAAATGGGCAGAGGAACTGAATAGACACCTCTCCAAACAGGACATACAAATGGCCAAGAGACACATGAAGAAATGCTCAACATCACTAATCATCAGAGAGATGCAAATTAAAACAACAATGAGGTATCACCTCACACCTGTCAGAATGGCCGCCATCAACAAATCATCAAACAACAAGTGTTGGCGAGGGTGTGGAGAAAAAGGGGACTCTAGTACACTGCTGGTGGGAATTCAGACTGGTGCAGCCGCTATGGAAAACAATATGGTGTTACCTCAAAAAATTAAAAATTGAACTTCCATTTGACCCAGTGATCCCGCTTCTAGGAATATACCCTAAGAAGCCTGAAACACCAATCAGGAAGAATATATGTACCCCCATGTTTGTAGCAGCACTATTTACAATAGCTAAGATTTGGAAACAGTCCAAGTGTCCATCAGTAGACGAATGGATCAAAAAGCTGTGGTACATATGCACAATGGAGTACTATGCAGCTGTAAGAAAGAAAGATCTCTTATCCTTTGAGACTACATGGAGGGACCTGGAAAGTATCATCCTAAGTGAAACAAGCCAAACAGAGAAAGACATGTTTCATATGATCTCACTTATTTGTGGAATATAATGAACATAACAGTCTGAGGAAGGGAGTAGTCCCAGAGATGCGGAAATGGGATACAGACTGACAATCCCCTAAATAGGGGGGTGGTGGGGAAGAGATAAACCACAGAACTTATATGCATGTATGCATGAACAGTGGACATGGTCAACAAACTGGGGAAAGGGCAGGGAGGGAGGGAGAGGGGGAATCAGTGGGGGGAAAAGGAGAAACATCTGTAACAAAAATTAACTAATAAAAAAATAAATAAATAAAATTACTCTATATCAATTCAGCTAGCAATAAAACTACGTTGATCCTGAAAGTCAGAATGTTTAGAAATTAATCTGCCCTACATTCTCCAGACCTACTCCTGTGGCCTGACCCATAACTGCAGTGACACTACCTGGATGTGCACATCTATCTCATCGGATGGCGTCTTATCTGCCACTGTAGCTAGGGCAGTAGGCAGAAGCAGCCGGATGGACTTTAACTGTAATCCAGGTTTTGCCATAGTTCACCCCCTACCTGTTAACCCCCGGAGCAAGACCGTGTCATACCACCAAACACGCAGGAAAACTGCGAGGATTAAACAACGTAAGCTGACAGGGCAGAACCGGAAGCCCTGGAACCAGTGGACACGTGGGCAGACTGGTCAGTGCCTGAGGGCTGCGAGGTGGGGGTGATGGACAAGGAAGGTGAAGGGATGAATTAGCTACGGAACATACTGCACACCCCCATGAACACAGACAATCGTGTGGGGAAGGACAAGGCAGGGGAGGTGGGCAAGGGGGGAGGGGATAGGGGACATTCGCATAGTGTCAACATTAAAATGTCTTAATAACAGTAACAGGAAGAACAGAAAGCGTGTGTCCGGCACCAGCAGGGCCCAGTGACTGCTCCTCGTCACGTGAAGGCAGTGCCGTTTCTGACCACGGCGTCTCGGACAGACAACA